GTTTATGGTTCTCACGTAAAAGTCATGGGAAACAACCAGTTACTCAAAAATATGAAGACAGTATAAAACTTATTGGAGCCTTCGCATCTGTAAGTTTGCTCTATTATATTATCTTTTATCACTTTTGAAAATTTTTAAATGATTTTAGTGGTACTTCTGATTTGGGATGGTAATTTAATTGGTGATACTTCAAGTTTTTTGATTAAAAATGCATGCTTTTTTTTTTTATTATTTATCTTGGATGTTATTATTCATCAGGTTTTTGTTTGTATTTTATTTTGATAACTTAAGTTGTTAATCTTTTACATTATTGTTTTAATCAGTTTTTCATTATTTCAATTTTTTTTTTTTTTTAATGAATAAAAAGTGCAAAAATTTCTAACTGAATTGCTCATTAAAATTTTAAAGTGAATGCTTTTAAAATGTTTAATTAAATATCAACAAGATAGAAATAATAAAACACAAAATAAAAAAATAATAAAAAGAAATGATAAAAATAATATAGAAATTAAAAATAAATAAAATAATAAAAGACTGTAGAAACAAAATATGTAGAAGTAAACAAAATGTGATTACAAGTAAGTAACAAGAAACTGTAAGTAAATACAAGAGTTTAATTAAAATAGATTACAAAGTTAATAAATAAATTATTATCGACCTTTTTTTTTTTTCTTCTAACATTTTCACTTCCTACAAGACTGCAAGCAACCACTATTAGAGTTAGAAGTTACTTGAAGAGAAAAAATAAAATTTATAGGGCAAGATAACGATTAACAGGGGATTTTACAATATTGTAAAAATTATATGAGTCAGGTAAACAAGAAGGAAGTGAATTCTAAAGAACTGGTGTTCAAGGAAAAAACTAGATGAATAAGAATTTTTGGAGCATTTAGGAACAGTCACAGTAAAAAAATGAGACTTAATTGAATGTATTATAGTATTTATAGAAAAGAGAAAGAGAAGCAGCGATGTGACAATGGCTGAAGGTTGGCTGCAAGTGCAGGTCCAACTATCTGCTTTAAAAAAAAAAAAAAAAAAGAAGTGGTCTAAATGGAAATAAGAATGATTTATTAACGCTTATAAAGTTAAATATGAAATTGGGAAGCAAACGTCTAAATTATTAAGTTGCATCTAACAGTATCTGCATAAACCAGATGAAACTAAAGGTTTACTTTTCTGGCTTCTAATTACATTTGTATTGTAAAAGCGCAAACATAATGTTCTTGATAATTAAAAACACAAACATATTCTTGATAATTAAAAATACAAACATGTTCTTGATAATTAAAAATACAAACATGTTCTTGATAATTGAAAACACAAACATTTTCTTGATAATTTAACTCTATAACAGCTTTAAAGATACAAAATGATTTTTTTTGCTATTTAAAAGGCAATTATGCTAGTAATTTATGGATAACAGTATTTTTTATAAGGTTTGATATTTTAATTGTGTTTAAATCTTTAAAAGGTAATATGTTTACATTCTTGTTGTACAAAACAGTGCACTTAATGACTGTCAGGGTGTTTCAAATTTTTTTAACCTTCAAAAATAAATTATTTACAGTCATTACTAAACTTTTTTTTTTTTTTCTTTTAAATTTTAAAAATTACCAATAATAAAAATTATAAAAAAGCATCTAGAATTTATTGTTTGCAAAATGCTTTCACTGCTTTTTTAGGTTTCTTTTTACTGTTTATCTAACGTTTTATCTAATGTGATCATGTATGTTTAATACATTATTAAGCATGATAAAACCTGATGTGTACTTGTATTAAAAAAAAAATTTGAATTTGTATTGAAAAAAAATTTTGTTTGAAAATCTAAGTATTTTATTTTCAAGTCCGAAAAGCTTACAACTGATATTTTTTTTTTTGAACCACTTAATTTATGAGTTGAATTTCAAATTAAATTGATAATTAAAGATCAATGTTGTATGCAAAAAACTTTAATTGTTGATATAAAGTTTTTTGTTTTTATTGTGTACGCTTTTGGTTTATCTGATAATTCAGTATAATTTTTTAGAATTAGGATCAATATTTTTCTGAAAAATAATTTTATGAAGAAGATGCAGCACTTGATTTGCAAATCAAATTAATGAAAAAAAAAATTAAATTGGTCCTAATATTATATATGCACATTTTTTCTTTTTTTAGGTTGAGCAATTTTGGGCTTACTACTTACACATGGTTCGTCCTGGCGAGTTAACTGGTCACAGTGACATTCATCTTTTTAAATATGGAATTAGACCAATGTGGGAGGTGAATAGTTATGTTATGAGTTTTTTCACTAAAGCTTTTTTTAAAGATTTTCAAAACCTCTGAGTTGTTAAAGTAATTAGAATTCTTTTCTTGTTTTTTCAACTTCTTATTTGTGCTTTCCACTTCTTATTTGTGCTTTCAACTTTTTATTTTTTATTTTAACAGTTCAATTAGTGTTCATGTTGAAGAGAATATATATTTGTTTATGATATAGAGCAATTGTCGTAGAGAAATAGCGTTCTATAAATCATAACAAATTTATTTTAAGATATCTTTGTTTAGAAGTGTTCCTCTTAAAAAGTCATCTGCTTCTGACATTTCTTGCAGAAGGAAAAAAATTTTTCAAGAAAAGTTTGCTGCTCCATTTTATTTTTATTTTCTATCTGAGCATGAGTTAACAGTAACCTGGAAAACAATAATTATTGTGAATCAGCAAAAATGAATTCTGTGAAAATATCAAACTTTTTTAAAACCTTTTACTAGCAATTTTGATAAAAGTTTAAAAGATAAAAAAAAATCAGAAAAAAAGTTCCTTCTCTTTGGTTCCAAGGCAAGTCTCATTATACTCCATGGTTTTCATCCTCCTGTGCAGCTGTTATATCTAATCGTAATCATTTTTTTCACCTTTTTCAAAAGAACAACTATCTCGAAAACAAACAGCTATTTTTTAATGCAAGAAACCAATGTAAAAAGGTGCTGTCAGATGTTAAGCTCCAATATTCTCAGTACACTAAATCTCGTATCTAATCTCAGAAGTTAGGTTCTTGAGACTTTTGGAGAAACTTCAACAGCATCGTTAACAAAGGTAGGTCTAACATTCCATCTCTCATTCATGGGACTGATCTTATTACCTCTCCCAAGGATATTTGCAAAGAACTTTTCTTCTAATTTGACTCTTGAATCTTATGGCCATTCTCTTCCTTCCATGCCATTCAAATCACTCCAGCTTCCGTTGCTTAAGTCATATCTCTATTAATTCTTCTACGTACTTGTGGTCCAGACTACATTCCTGTCATAGTCTTACAAAATTGTTCTCCAGAACTCTCTTCAATTCTCAAAACTATTTAATAAAGGCTTGACTGAGTCTTGTTTTCCTGCCTGGTGGAAAATGTCATCTGTGATTCCAATTTTCAAAAACTCTGTTGAATATTCTGACCCCTCCAAATATCCTCTGATCAGTCTTCTTTCTATTATTAGGTCTTTAAGTCTTTGATAAACAAATTTTTCACTTCTCATCTTCAGGGCTTTAAATAACAAACTTTTTTGTACTGGACAATTTATCTGATAAAGACTCAAGTTTGCTGAACATGTTCGATAAAAATTAAAGAAATGCGATGAAACACCATTCCTGACCACGCATAAAAGTATTTTGTTTTAACCACTAGACGGTCAAGTTGTAAAAACAAAAGAAATTGTGTGTTCAGACCACATAATTTTTTTGAAAACTCTTTTTTAAACGTTTTAAAATGCGCTGAAAATAAAAAGAAAATTTTTAAGATAAATCATCTAACAAAAAGATAATCTTAAAAAAAAAGAAAAAATCTAAGCTCAAAAAACTTAAATTTGGAAAGAAAAATATATTTATATTACGTTTTTTAAAAATTACTATACTATGCGAAATGCTTTGTAAATTATTAAAAACATAAATTATTACATAAATATATTAAATACATGAATAATGTAATTATTAAATACATAATTAAATATATAATAAAAATGTATAATAAAAATTCAAAATTATTAAATTAATAAATTATTATGTAAATATATTAAATACATAAGTTATTAAGTTTACTTATTACTTTATTAAATAAAAGAACAAATTAATTATGTTTACGATAAACCCATTTTATTTAAATTATCAAATAGTATTATGCATAATTACATTTATGTGTTTTTTTATAAATCTTTTCAAACTTTTTCTAAAAATTAATTTTATAAACACTTTTAATAACAAAAATTTTAAGCGCAAAAACAAACATTACGTAACAACTCAAATTTAATAATGTAATAAAAAGTACTGGTTTCTATAAGCATTAAAATAACTATTATGTTAAAATTTTTATAAAATAAATGTAAAGGGGGTTTTAAAGGCTAAAGTATTTGTTTGAAATTTATGAAAATCCTCGGACAAAAAAATAAAATAAATACTATAAATTTAAATTAATAACTAATTGCAACATTTTAATATAAATGATAAAAATCGGGCTACTTAATTCAAAAAAATGTAATGCTTTGGCTCTTATAAAAAATAAATTAACTCAAAAAAATGCCATATTTTATTAATGTATTTGTGTGTTCAACTTCAATTTTGTTTTGTATAAAAAAGTTCAAAAAATAAAGTTTATACACAATACTGAATTTATTAATAATTTTGGATAAACTAAAATGATTAGAGAAAAATGGGTCATAAAGTATGGGTTGGACAAAATGATCGATAGATGTCGTTTTTTACCGGACAAGTGCCAGATAATGTCCGATGTCTGGCACTTATTTTGAGCCCTACATCTTGAGTTAAGCACTTACTTACTGTTCGACAATCAATTCGGTTTTCAATCCTCTCGCTCCATAGCTAACATCCTAACTGCTGTGACTGAAAGATTTTATTGTGCTTTAGATGGAGGCGAAGAGGCTAGGGCTATTGTTCTTGACATATTTAAGGCTTTCAACAAAGTTTGGCATGCTGGTCTTCTCCATAAGTTTGTTTCATATGGTCTATCTGGGAAAGTTTTAGAGATTATCAAATCTTTTTTTTCTGATGGCTTTATTAAAGTCATCCTTGAAGGCCAACACTTTTCTTTATTCCCATTAACTTCTGGGGTACTTTAAGGTTCTATCATTGGTCCTGTTTTATTTCTTTTCTGCATTAATGATCTTCCTGACAACCTTACCACAGTACCGTTAACATTCCTTTAATAAGAAATGGCAACCTTCTCACTGAGTTCTCTTCTTTACATTCTTGGATTATTATTTACTTTTGACCTTTCATGGAAACCATTTATACAATGGATTGGTTTTTTTTTCAAATTAGCATCTGCTAAGGTTGCTTCTCTTTAATGTGCTCTCTCTCCTGATTCTCTAACTCCACAAATCTTTTATTCGTCCCTCTATAGAATTATTTGTCCCTCTATGGAATACTGTTTTCATATTTAGGTTAGTTCTTCCAATGATGTTCTTTCTCTTTTACAAAAACGCATTGTAAATGTAGTTGGACAAGCTTGAGCCTCTCTCCCATCGTTCCAAAGTTGCATCTCTTTCTCTTTTTTACAAATACTATCATGGTTGCTGCTCAAAAGAGGTGTTATCTCAAGTTTTATTAACTAAAACTCATTTTGACTTGATTCATCATCAACAAAGTCTCATACTTTTTCTGTATCTGTCCTTGCATGCACTAAAAACTTTTATTTGTCTAGTTATTTTCCCCACACTTCAACTCTTTGGAACTCTTTACCATTTTAATGTTTTCCTGACTCATACAACCTTCATTTTTTTAAGTCTTCTGTCAACCGTTTCATTGCTCTATAACTCAATTCTTTTTCTCTAGTAACTTCCAACCTAATAGTGGTTGCTTGCAGCCTTGTTGGGAGTGAATCAGAATTAAAAAAAGACAGCATATGTTTAAAAATATATTTATTTAAATGAGAAATGATCCTTCCTTTATTATAGAGGGAAAGCAAATTTAAGGAAAATGTTCTTGTTTATTATCATTCAATTTCGTTCACTTTTTATTAGATATATGAATTCTGGTTTTTTATTAGTTATATGAAAGAACAATCTGGGCTGTTTATTTTTTTATTAGGTTTCTCACTTGTTGCAACATTAGCATAAGCAGCATTACGATTTTTTCACTTCCAATTTTTCACTTCCAATCTTTCTTGAAAACCATATATCAAATCCATTGCAAAATTAGCATTTGCTAATAAGTTTGCATCACTTTATAATGTTTGCCAGTTTCTTATTCCGTTTTTTAATCTCTATAAATATCAAATATGTCGTTGTATGGAGTAGTGTTCCCATATCTGGAGCAGGTTTTCAAATGACTCCCTTTCTCTTTTTGACAAAGTGCAAATACCCATTGCAAACATAGATGGACAAGCCAGCTTTCTCTTTTCTGCAAATACTATATATTGGACCTTGCTCTAATGAGCTAGCGTCTCTTGTGCCATCTAATAAAATTCATTCTTGTTTTACTTGTCATTAAAACAAGTCTCATCCTTTTACTGTGACTTTAGTATACAAGAAAAAAATTTTTCTGCAGATCAAACATCATTTCAGTTTTGTCAAACAGTTATAATTAGAAATGAATTTATGAAAATATCAAATAAAAAAAATCGTTTTATATTTTTAATTTCAATAATAAATAAGTTTGTTTAATATATTTATAATGTTATTTAAACACAGATTTGTATTAATAGAATCAACAATATATATATTTTTTTATTAATAACAGTTCAAAAAAATTTTCACTGGTACAATTTTAAATTAAAAATTTAAAAAGGATTAATTTTAGACACAAATTAATTAAAAGTGTTGGATCATTTCACAAATTGTTAGATTCAGGACAGTATATGATAAGCTCAGATGGGTAATTAGGTGTACAGGAACAAATAAAAACAGGAACGCAGTATTTTCAAAAAAACTGGGTTCCTGTTTTTAATAATTAAGGTTTTAATGTTTAAGTTTTTAATTGATTTTTTAGTGGAAAAAATGTTAAAAGATAAACAACTTATTAATTTTAATTGTTTGAACTTGAAACTAATATTTTATAATTTTAAAGCTATAATTTTTTATTACTGATGCAGATAAATTCAATATATTGTAATTTTTTTGACAATAGTTATTTTTTATAACTTTCAAATAAAAACTTTTGAAATCTCTATCAAGTTACATTTTTTTTGTTGTAGAAAATCTTTTTCTTCCTTAAAAAAAATACTTAATTTAAAATAAATAGATTTTTTAAATTTTTAAAAATTAAGAGGTTGTTTGATCCAGTCTACTTGTATTTTGATCCAATCTACTAGTAAGTTTGGAGATATTTAGTAGGTTAAGTAGCATCCTGTAATTTGATTTAATTTGAAATAATATCTATTAAGTTTGCACAGTATTCCCACGTTAATGTTCTGCAAATAAAAAATGTTTTACTTTTCTAAGTGTTCATCTTTTATATTTTTATTACCATTATATTTTGTTATTATCAAGAATATGTGTTCTATAATAAATTCTTTCATTTAGTGATATAGAATCTAATAATTATAAAACGACTATTTTTTTAGGATAAAGCAAATAAAAATGGTGGCAAATGGATAGTTAGACTAAAGAAAGGTCTTGCATCACGTTGTTGGGAAAATCTAGTAATTTGATATTTTAGTTTTTTTTTCTAAAATTTTTTAATAGTTAATAATTAAATGCTTATTAGTAATAAAATAGTTTTTCCCCTCCTGACTCTCTAAATACACAAGTATATATACACACACACACACACACACATATATATATATATATATATATATATATATATATATATATATATATATATATATATATATATATATATATATATATATATATATATATTTTGATATGTGACCAGGGCCGGGGCCAGGTTTGATAAAATATAGCCAGGGCCAGGGCCGAGTTTGTTACCAGGGCTGCATACACATTTATTCATCCTAAAGTATAATTTTTTTATTCAAAATTTATGTTATATTTTGTATATATATGCATATATAAACATCATTATGATCAACATGATCATCATAATCATCATTACCATCATCATCATCATCATCATCATCATCATCATCATCATCATCATCATCATCATCATCATCATCATCATCATCATCATCATCATCATCAGTATATGGTTCTCTGTTCGTTATTGCAACAAGGTCATCGGCTCACAGGATTTTAGATTATTGCCGTGCCGCTTAATATTTTTTAATTTTTTTTTCAGTATTACCAATAAGAAAGATCTACAAATTTTAGATGTCATTTTTGAAAAAAAATATTGAGAAAAAACTGTAAATATAAGAACCGTTTTAAAGAGCGTTGCATTACCGAATGCATTGAAAAAGAGGGTTTATGCATGGGGATCATAAAAATGACATTCGGGTATTTTTTTTTAAATCATTTTCTTCAAATCAAGCTATAAACTAAATAAATCCACATTTCTAAATTTTGACATTTTTCATATCATTGTGGCATTTTTAAGTTTCTGAGTTCAAGTAAACTTTATATAATATATTAGTTAACAAATCTTGTACTTGGGTTTTCAAAAAAAAACGTTTTATAAAATTTTTATACGTTTTTAAGAAATTTTTTTTTGCTGGATGTATTATTTACTAAATCGAATGTCTGAAAAATATAAACTTTGCTTTTGAAACGGAAAAGATTTTTAGGGAATTAGGTTTTAACTGTGAGGTGTTGCATTACCGAAACTACACAAGTTGCATTACAGAATTTTCTGGCTTTCGCTTATAAATGATTTTGAAAGGTCTATTTTAGTACGATTTTTAAGTTATTATTTTTATAAAAAACTTATTTACTCTTTTTTATCCAAAAAATAAAATTGATGCAAATAATAATTGTAAAATCGAACGGAAAATATTCAAAGTCTTAGTGGTGCGTTATAGGACTTTTAGGGTAAAGAAACAGACAATCAATTAAAACAGGGGAAATTTTTTATTACAGAAAATAAAACTATATATTAAACTTTTATGAAAAAAAATTCTAAATAAAGAAAGCTTTTAATACAACGTTTATAGTTAACAAATGCGCTCATTTTGAATACACAATTTTGAATATTTTAGAATAAAAACTTTACAACAATCCTCTGACGTATTTTTTAAAATCAAAGTAATACATTTTTTAAGTATTTTTAAGTTAATTTTGACTTTATGAAAAAAATACACACAGCAAGATGTTGTTTTAAACAACCTTCCCAGCAAACATTTTACAGCGGAATTTTAGTAGACTTTTAAAGGCATTTTGAGAGTTTCTCACTGTTTTTCCACTGTAAAAAGGATTATTAGTTACATAGTGGACCATTAGTGGCAGCCGCCATATTAGATAGCAAACAACTAGCTTTTATATTACATGTGGAAGAGTTCCTGGCTAGCCACTTTTATCAAATCCCTTAAGTAACCTAGGAGCAAAACTCCAATAAACCGCTCAAAATGCTTATGAAAGATACTGCAAATCCAAATTAAAATAATTGCTGGGTTAATAAAATCATAAATAGGTATCAATTTCACAGATTTTTATAAAAACACAGTTATTCATAGTTTTTAAAAGTTCATAGCCTTAACCAGAGAGACTGACATTATCCTATTTAGTAAAGTACTGTTTTATTATTTTTTATAAAAAACAATTTATTTATTTTACAAAAAATCATGATTAATATCATTAAGTACGTATCTTATTTAAGTTAATTGATCACAAGTTTTAGAGTCATAGTTTTTGCATAGATGCTTGAAGTGCAAAGGAAAATTACCATTTTAATGTGGTCTTGTTGGCGACACCCTCGAAAACAAATTTTTGAAAACTTTACTTTGCAGCAATTTTATAGATTATAACTAATTTCTTAAAATTTCTGATAACATTTTTTATTGCAAAATTTATACAAATTTTACAGAAGAAAATGGATACAAGATTTTGTAAGGTACAAACTTACAAAGGAACAAGCACACCACTACATGAAAAAAGAAAGTTTACTAAATCTTTGATCATTTTTTGTAGAACTTCTATAGCCTATCAAACTTTGCAGAACTTCTATAGCCTAGCAATAAAAAACAATCTTAACAATTTGTATACTATGAAAAAAGCTGTTTCAGCGGTTTTGTTTCGATGTACAGATTTTGACGACAAGGAATGTCGACACTTATGTCCCCAAGAGAAACTGAGACACGGTGCAAATATCATTTAGACATGGTGAAAATACTTATGTAGAGCAAGTAAATATTTCTGTTTCAGTCTTCATAATTTTAAAACCAACTTTTAGTGATGTATCGTGAGATGATTTACTAAAACGCCAACGAAACACTTAACCAGATTATTTGTAGACGCTGCCCAAAAAATATTTTTTTGGGCAGCGGTTCTTAAAGTCTGCAGTTAAATCATCTGTTATTGAATTTAATGAAGGTCCTAATGGAGTTCTATTTGTACTAAATAAATTCAAACTAACAGGATGTGTTACGTCTATGAAACTTAATAAAAATAATAAAGAAGCTATAAAGCGGTTTCTTCAAAAGTCCACTGAACGTTTCAAAAAGAGAAAAAAATAGCTAAGAACAATTAAAAAGACTTAGACAAAGATAATAAAAAAAAAACTCACAATATATTCCTGGAGGGTTTTGATATGTTTATATGAACTATTTATTATGGTTTTATTCTTTTGTTTTATATATTTGCCGTTTCCTCAGAGTTAAGTTTTGCCTCAAATTAAAATCTTTAAAATATAATAACTTTAAACTCGTTTAAGCTTTTGATTTAATTTTTCTTTTGAATTTTTACATAATTAAAAAAGGATACGGATGAGAAAAAGGATATTTAAAACAAAATAAGGAAAGTACTTTTTTATGAGACTTTTTTATGAAAAAAATTGTTGGACATTCGTCAAGCAATTTTTCTATGTTTGTTTCAAATTGTTGTAACCTTTTATATACTATAAATAATAAAATATGTTTCAGTTATCCGTATTAATATACCTCATTAGTATATACACCAATTTTCAGCTTGATTTGATAAAAAGTTTTGATTGCTAGCTTGTCACAAAAATTGCTAGTTTTTTATTCATTTTTTAAATAACCGGTTATTCGATACATTTTTTTTTAAGTTGATTTTTGTAAATAGTTTATAGAAGCACATTTTTGGTGAAAAATTTAAATCAAAAACCTATTTCTAACAAAAGTTAGCGTTTTCTGTGAAGAACCACCTTAAGTTTAAAAAAAAAATTTTAAATTTATTTAAAATCCATACTTTAAAACAGCAATTTTTATCTTTTAAAATTAAAGTTTATAAAATTACAAATTTTAGTGTTGTTTGGAAAAAGTGCCTTAAAAGTGTATTTGTGTCAAAGAAAGTATTAGAATTAACTGCATCTTTATCCATTATTAAATGTGATGGTGGATTTATAAAAATGGAAACTATATTTGGGCACACTAGTATAATTTTGACCTTCGTGATCCAGTATAAATACGGTTAAGTTGTATACTAGAGATAAGATTATTTATTTAATGATATTATCTTGAGACGAACATTTTATGTTTAAGTAAAAGTTGATGTGTTACCATCTCACCAAGCCCATAAAATCAAAAGAATCCATAGTTTTTATAGATAGGGAAAGACAAGATATCACACGATTTAAAAACCTTGGGTTTTTGCAAATCTTAGACCAATTAAGCAGTAATATTTTGTCAGTATCCTTGTTTTATCATAATGATTCATTGCTTCCATAAGTTTTAAGTTTGCAAGTAGTAAAAAAATGTAAAAAAAAATTTGTCATCAGTCATCGGAGCACAATAATAGAGCAAAATAAATTTGCTTTAAAAAATACAAATAAAAATAAACATAAATAATAAAAACAAACTACAAAATTACACCCATAAAACACCACACATTAGCATTTACTATAACCGCAATTTTATTTTTTAAGCGTGTACAACATTTTACGAGTGAATAAATATTTGAACAATATTTAAAAAACCAAAACTTGTATTTTAAGACACAAGCTATATATACAGATTTGTTTCACTCATTTTTAATTTTTTACCCCATTTCGTCCTACTCTTTTTTTATTTCAAAACTATTTGTTGTATAACTAACAGATTTTTAACGGTACTATACCTAATGATACGAAGCATATTACGAGAATCTTTTGTATGCTTCCAAATAAATTTAATTTAGTCTTTAAAATTGCTGGACCTAATAATATAGCAATTTTTTCTCAAATGTATATCACTTTCAAAGTCGAAGGCCAAGTTTTTTAAAAATTTTTTTTTTAATAAGGTGTTCTCAGAAGCCCTGCCTCATAAAAAAACAACAATGGAAAACTTTAGATCTAAAGATAAATCAATAAAGTTATAACGATTGCTAATATGATTTTGCTCTACTCTATGTATATATATACATATATATATATATATATATATATATATATATATATATATATATATATATATATATATATATATATATATATATATATATATATATATATATATATGTATATATTGCCTTTAAAAAAACAGCATTTTAAAGGCAATATATATAAACTACCATTCACCTTACAGCTGACAATCACACAAAATAGATTGCATGTATTATTTCAATATAATATTTTGATAAGTTT